CCCCAAAACCCCAAAACCCCAAAACCCCAAAACCCCACACCTCTTCTCAAAATTGGGCCTTAAATCCTCTTCTAAATCCTCATCTTAACTTCCAACCTAAAAGAAAAATATGTTAAGCACGAAGATTTTTAAAGGTCTGACTTTGGATATGGTGCAACCTTAAGGAGAGATGGTGAGGCTGGGGGTCTGTTGATGCCTTAGGGAAGGAATTTTAGGCTTATGTAGAGATAGTCCTGGTATCATAGGGGTAGTAGAAGCGACTTAGTTTTTGGAAATTGATGATAAGGTTTTAAAGAATTCATTTCTTGGATTAGTTTCTTGATTCATAAATTTTAAACAGGTCTTCTTATTATGAAGTGCTTCTGCAAAATTTTGGGGTAACATAATCTGAATTGTCTTAAGAGTGAAGGTTCATTATTTTGTTTGGAATATCCGAATTGTCATCTTCAAACTGAGCTACTTCTATAACTTAAAGACCAAGCATCATCTAACTTGGTAAAGATTATTGAAGGAAGTGCATATTTTGTATTGAAGTGAGAATTCATTGCAAATTACTCTATGTAAGAGTCATTCTTAACCAAAATTTCAATAAATCGAGCTGTTGTTAAGTTCTAACTATGAGAAAGAGAGCTATCACTCCTAAGCCTTGTAGCAAGATTTCCAAGTGGCACAAGAGCAAGAGAAAGCTTCTTGAAAAATTTTGTTGCAGCAAAATGTTACTTTGAAGGAATAGATAAGAGAAAAGTGATATTTATTGACAAAAATTTAAGAAGATCTTATAATTAATTTTAATGATTGACGATACCTTTATGTTGATGAATTACATTGGAAAGGGAGGAAGCTCCAAGGTCTTCTTAGTCAAGGATTGACGAGGCCAGAAGGTCGTACTCAAGGTGATCAGGAAAGATAAGAGATATATGCGTGAAGACGCAGAGAGAATGCTCTTTAAGGAACACTCAGTTCTTCAGAAGCTACAGTCTCATCCAAATATAATTAACTCTTATGGAGTTAAAGTTGATGGAATTGCAATAATGGAAGAGGAAAAAGAAGACATTATGTACGGCATACTTGAGCATGCAAAGCATGGTTCAATCGCCAACTTCATTAGGTATACTGGGGGCATTGAAGAAGACATTGCTAAGTTCTTCATGCTTCAAACTTGCAATGCAATTGAGTTTATTCACCAGCAAGGATATGCTCATCTAGACATTAAGCTGGAGAATATCTTACTCGATGAGTTCTTTAACATAAAGGTCGCAGATATGGGCGCATCTATTAATGTTCAAGAAACTCTTGGGTGGACAGATAAAAGGAGAGGGACGAAATACTATATGGCCCCTGAAGTAGCTTCTAAGTCACCAAAAGCTAGCTATGATGCATTTAAAGCTGACATTTTTTCATTAGGAATCTCTTTGTTTGTGTTATTGATAGGTGAGTTCCCAAACCTTGGGAAATTAAGAGACTTCTCATCTACAGAAGGAAGTGAAGAAAGCTCGAGTTTGCTACAAAGACAGGACCACAATCTAGGGACTCTGAAAAGATTTAAGAACCTTAGTCCAGATCTTCAAACCTTGATTAAATCAATGACAGATGCTAATCCTGAGAATAGGCCAACAATATCTGAAATCCTCGAAAATTCATGGCTCTGAGAAGTATTTTCAGAAAAATTTCGAGAAGAAGTTCATTCAGAAATGAATGCGAGGAAAGAATTCATGCTAGACTCCTCATTTTAATTACAATCAGATGGGCAATGTGCTCCATCTGGGTCTAACCTTAACTAAATTCATATATCATAACAATGTTTTAAATAAAAAGATGTTAACCTTTACGATTTTATGGCTAGTTTAAAGTTGCGGATTTTCTTGAGTCGGCAGGAAATGATCAACTAGAGGCTCCTCTCTAACTTAAAATAGAAGCTTCCTTCATTCCTTGGGTTTTCAGATGAGTAGAAAATGGTAGATTATTTTGTTTCATATAAATTCAAATTTAAATATTTTCTTGAAATCCGAAAGTAGAGTTTGGTTGCATATTATTAAGTAATACATTTGAAGAGACTTTATAAGCAATTCACATAATCTCCAGAAGTAGACCATACTGATATGGTAATTCATCTTTCAAAGACTCTTGGCCAAGTTTACATTCATAGTACTCTTAAAAATTCCCCCAGATTTCCTTCCCTGAGTGAACCTCATGCCTACCAATTCTCATCCAAAATCTCCCAAAACTCCCTTCAAACCTAATTTTATCTTAAAAATCTATTTTTTCCACCTGGCAGTCAGTTTTTGTCCCAATTCTGGCAGTAATTTCTGTGAGTTATTAACCTCAGCAGATGGATCTTATATAGGTGATAAAGGATTTAGAAATTTTTGGAAGGTGTTAAGTAAGAGAAGGTGGAAGGAAGTGGAAGATCTGAGGGTTTGAGGAGATTTAGGAGGGTTTTGAGGAGTTTTGAGGGGGTTTAGGGAAAGATGGGGGGTTTTGGGTGAAATTTAAATTTTTTTGTGGGAAAAGTTTTGGTATTTTTTGGATTAAATTTTTGTAGATATTTATGAATCTCAATAAACTTGGGTTTAATGGGGTTTTGGGGTTTTGGGGTTTTGGGGG